TGGAGTCACTAACATAAGGATTAATTTAGAAAACATGAGATTAGATTAAAGCAATCACAAAGACATTGAGTGAATGAGTCTACATTCTATTATTCAAACTCCTTGGGGCCATGGTATGTTACAGAATTCAGAATATTTCAGATTTGGGAAAAAAATAACATTCCCAATGAGATCTTGGGAAGAAGCATTTTTGTGGAAAAAATATGAATATTCACTCTAAGGTGGGCTAAAGACTATAAACAGCCTCATGCTTTCTCAGGTCAGGTTTTGTCATTGACTGAGTTTGGGTTAAGTAAGGTCTTGCTGCCAAAGAAGTTATTAAATAATTTAGATTTTGGTGTTATAGATAAATGGATTTCGGATTTGTAGGTAAGAAGAGATGAGAAAACCAAAAGGAGAAAGATCAGCCAGTGAAGCATGATGAAATCCAAGAGAGTAGCAGCCCTACCCTTACCCTCCTAGAAGTGAAGGGAAAAGAAGTTTCAAGAAAAGAGGGAGAGACTAACTATCAAATGTGTCAAAGGAGAATGAGAATTAGATTTGGGAACACGGACATTGGTGACCTTACCAGCCCAGAAACACGGCTGCTAAAGGAACCCAACTAATAGGGATTATTTCTAAAACAACAGGGAAAACTTTGAAGATCACAAGACTTTTAATTGAACCCCCCGAGTTAAAATTCCCTAATGAAGACTGTGCTCCTACTTGATATCCAGAGTAAACCTGTTCAAAAAAAAATGAATAAAATGTAAGAAACACATTGACATATATTCCAAAACCTACCAGACTGATGGTGAAGAAGAATCCCTGGAATCTTATTTCTTTGGATACGTATTTAAAATTAAAATCTTTGACTACAGGACTAGAGAGTCTAGGAGCTTTTAAAAAAAGGGCAGGGTGGGCGTCTCATAGCTCTCTGATGAATCAGAAGCAGCGAGATTATTCCTCTCTTTTCCTGACACCTGTTGCAGGGAGTAGCTTCAGCAACACCAAGTGGGTGGGTATGGCCTGAGAAGGTATAATTAGGTAAGAGCCAAAAAATAATTACTGCTTGGTAGGGAAAAAAATCCATCTCAATCCTGCTGTGAAATCAGATATAACTCAGAAATCAGATAGAGCTCAGAAATCACATATCCTTCTCCAATTACACAACAAATTATACAAAAGCAGACTTGACAGAAAACAGAGATAGAGTCAGGAACAGTACTTGTTATATGAATCCATTTGGTGTAAATCCCATGAGTCAGAGATACATGAGTCAGTAGTGAATACACTGTAATAATAATTGAAGATTATAGGGTTGAATTATAATTGATTTCCAAATACGATTATTACATACTTTTTATGTAAAAGTCCAGGTTAAAAAAAAAAGATGAATTGTATAACAAAATGAGTACTTTGGGTCAAACTTGAATATCATAGTAATAAAGCTGGGGGTATTTGGAATATATAGAAGTCTGGGACGTACCATTAGGGAATGGCAAAGATCTCACTTGGTGACCACAGGCATGTGCTTAGTAAGCAAAGTTGTTAGAAGATATGCTAAGACTCCTGTTTTGTACGATCAAAAGGTCATCAAAGTGAAAGTATGTCCAAAGAAAAATGATAATTGTATGAGAAATAGATAATTTTTTTAATGCCAATGTCCAGGATTAGGTGAAAGCTCAGCCACACACAACTGTGGGAGATAAAATACCAATAAGGGTTGCCACCAAAAGATATATCGAGGGAAAACTTTTAGAGGAAGGACCCAAATGGAAATGCACATATCCTATAGCTGATTAGCTTCAAGTTCATTTCAGTAGAAGGAGCATTCTCAATATAACCATTTATACATATTAACTATGAGAATGAATGACAAGAGCTTTAAAAATAATCATGTGAATACTGTATAGTGTTCTAACATCTAATGAATCAACAAATCTGAGTTCTATGTTCACTGTTATTTGCCTTTGTCTTTTCTCTACCATTACAGTTGACTGCTTATTGACAAACTGCTGCTTACTCCAAAAACTTAATTTCACGAATCTTCACAACACTCTATCTTCCAAGGAAAGGAATCTGACCTAATTAGTGCCTCTCAGCGATTTTTTCATACTATTTTCTATTCATTCAAGTAACTATAGGGGCTCAGAGAGAGGAAAAAAATAGCAAGTTTCGGGGAATAAATGGTGAATAAATATAGGAACATCATAACTTTAAAAAAAAAGAATTACGTCAATAGACAAACAAGAGTCAATTAGAACTTTTCAGAAACTTCTGTGCTCTAGCCTCTGTACAGCTTGACTGGCACCTGCTCCATTCTTGGCTCGAAGGTCCTCAGGACAAATGCTGGACACTAAGAATGTCTGCTGGCATGACCCAAGCAAGGGGAGGGTGATGTGTACCCGTTACTGCTAATGCCCTTGGAAAGTGAATTGAAGAACGGATACCACATTCTCCAATACCAAATCTAGATCCCTATTACATACACTAACATTGGAACTGGGCTCTGAAGCTAAGGTGACTAATTTTTTTCAGGTTTTTAGGTCTGGAGAAGAACTCCCAGGGATCTGGAAGGAAAGGGAAATGACAGAGTCCAACCTACCTAACTTTGAAATAAGCAATACTTCTCTCTCCTCCCTATTCTTCCTAAATAACCAACAGATCCAAAATACCACTTAAGGGAAATGACAGAGTCCAACCTACCTAACTTTGAAACAAGCAATACTTCTCTCTCCTCCCTATTCTTCTTCCTAAATAACCAACAGATTCAAAATACCACTGTGTAACTTTATCAGTCAAGAGAGGGCTATGGAGAATTGACTAACGTGTAGAGAATGCTGTGGGGGGTTATGGCCCACATCCCTAGTATCTTATAATTATCTGCCTACATAATCCAACCGCCCTCCTATTTCATTCTGTTTTCATTCTTCTAGGTTTTTTTTCCTAAGCATATGGGCATCCATTTAAAAAATACAGTAATGATAATAATGTATATACGCACCATTGAACATCCCTGCATATATTACTGATTTTATACTTAGAACACAATCTTTGACAATAATATTTGGGGCCAAAAGATTTGTGAATTTTTAAAATTCTTCATATGTATTAACAAAACTACCCTACAGAAATGTTGTGCCAATTAATTATCCTACTAGCAGAATAGTGAGGTGCTTGTTTTTTTCTACCCTTAAGCTCTGAATGTTGTGTTTTAGTAACTGCAAAAAAAGTAGGGGAAGGTGGAATTCTGCTCCTTTATTTTGTCTTTTGTAAACTGTCTGATAATGATTTTCCCATTTTTCTACCATGAGAGGAAAGTTCAACTTTTTTTTTGATTTATAAGAGTTTTAAAATATATTATAGATAGTATGCATTTGCCACGATTATGGTTCTAGTTAAAAAATATGAGTTCAACTGTACAGTAATATAGGAACTTAGCTCAATAAGCAATGCCACACAAAAACTATTATATCAGCTAAGTAAAAAGACTTTGTAGTTAAATATAAGGAATCACTTCTGTGACTCCGACATTGGTATAACTATAGTAACAATAACAAAAATAAGAACTATTGCCTGATGCATTGCAAAATACAGTTTGTTATTATCGTAACTCGTGTGTAAAAATTCCAATAGGTTATATTCTGAAAAGCTTACATTGTTCTGCTTAGGGTTTTCCTGGCTCTCCACAAGAAGAAAAACAAAACAAACCACATTGTGAGGCTACTGGTCCTCAGCTTCTTTCTGGTAGAGAATGTTTTATACCAGAGGCCTCTTAGGTCTCTTCCAGTTCGAATGTTCTAAAGCCGATGTGAGGGCATCACGCTAATATGGCTAATGTGCTGAAAGAGCTTTCCCAATATTAAGTTTCAAAGGCAAGAAATAGCCTCAGCTACAGCCCACAGTTCATATTACACGAAATGGTTGAGAGACTCAAAATACTGACCTGATAGTACGTTCGTTCACTTAAAAGTGGTTTGATCCTGAGATATGTGCCGATAGAGAATTCTACTACATGCAGATATACAATAGTTCAGGGGCAATGTTCTGATAGGACTTGTTGGCAGTGAAAGCAGGCGAGGGATTGCACTAGTAATCACGGTAAACCCAAGCGCAAGCTTACCTGGAAGATCACCACCCGGAACTTGTTTTTCTTCATTATCTCCTCTTGCTTCGTTTCCACTTTCGTCACGTGAACCTGCTGCTTCTCCACCCGGGCCTTCACGTCCTTAATGTGAGCACTGACTTTCCGGGTTTTCTCGAACAACTTGTTAATGACATAGCCTGTGTTGCTGTGTGACTGCGAAAGCTTCAGCAGGTCGATCTGGACGGACTTGATGGAGTTTTCCATCACCCGGTGCCTCTCTTCTATTCTCTTCTGGCTCGCCTGCACTCTGTCCACGATGGTGGCAACTTTGTCCAGCACCGTCACGATGGTCAGGGCAGCGTCTTGGTCTTCATCTTCGGCCATACCCGACGGGCGGTTCTGGTGGATCTTATCGGCATTTGAAGCAGACCCATTATGTTCCATTTTACTTCCTTCTCAGCTACAGAGGGCCTCCCACAACCAATTCCGGCACTTCGAGCAAACAGCTTGATAACAGGCCACGGGGTTGTTTAAAGGGTTGGAAGCCCCACCCCTGGAGACTGGTCAAGTATTTATAACTACAAATGCCCATACGTGACTGTTCTGCAATATGAGCCCTTGCAGAGAGCACTGGGGACTGTTCCAAACATGCTTACGGACTGACTAAGGGACTCAAATAAGACTGTGTGGGTAGAAGAGAAAAGCCTTTTTCAAAAAAGCTCCCAGAAGCCACCATGTTGCTAATATTAAGCCTAGAAGCCAAGTGACCAAAAAAGCGAACTCCAAATGTTGGGTGAGCCTTTTGCCTTCAGGTAATTTCCAGCAGCATTTGTAAAAGCAAAGGGGAATTGTGAGCAAAACTCTGCTTTTTCTATGCATTTCACTGACATATCAAAGAATGTAGTAAATAAACACACCAAAACAAAGGCCATATAGTGAAAACACTATATTGTGACATGCTTTTCCAGATCAAATATTAAAATTAATATTCCATTTTGAACATCTTAAATTCTACATGCATACTTCTGAATATCTAAACTACACGTTAAACAGCTGAATACATTCTACTCGCACTTCAGATCTTGAAACACCGACAATCTATTATTATAGCTATTACTACAGGACAAATTTGGATAGAGGTCTTAGGTAATTTTTAAGCTCACTTTAAGAGCACCAATCATTAGTCATTTTTGCATTTTATTCACAAACACTGATACAATTATTTATGTTAAAACAAATCTTTTCTTTAAAAGTTAATGTGTATTAAAGTAGTTTAACTGAGAGGGTAGGCTTTATTCCAGTCTGTTTGTTAAACAGACTATGTTCACAATGTCTAAATCTACTTTCCAGTGATCTGTCCCATCATTGCTACCAGATACTTTTTTGAGTTACCAGAATTATTTTTTCAAAGGAAGGAATAATCAAATTCCAGTCCATACATCTTATAAATATTTTACACCTAACACACACGGCTTTACAGTTCATGCGATAGGCAGTGTCTAGAAAAACAGTTACTAAATCTCAAAACATTTAAATGTCTATTTAAACACAGTGTCTTCTAAAATTTGTTTTGTAAGAAAAGTAATCTGTAAACATCTTTACCTTTAGTTCATGCTTAGTCATTTGCTGTGGTCATTGTGGAAGAAGTGGGTATGACTTTACAACCATTTGTGAAGTGGTCCACCTTTGCAAAAATATTACATTCCATGGGTAAAGAACGAGTCTTAGAATTACCATGTGGTACAAATTTATGAAATCAATTTCTGTCTTTAAAAACATAAAACAAAGACTACTAAACAGTCCAAAACTGCTGTAGCTGAATATTCTAAATACGAGCCAACTGTACTACACTAAAAATGTCCAAAAATAAGGCCTCTGAAATAAATATTTCCATTCTTTAAAAAAAGACATAATAAATGTACATCACATGGTCAGTGTACATATAAAAGCCATCGTTTTAAACCATCCTGGATGACGTATCCGAAGTAAAATGACCTAGGTTTTGCTTCTGTCGTCGTCCTCTATTGTTTTTAGGGCATTTTCTGTTGAGTTAAAAAAAAGAAAAAGAAAAATGTCACACATAAAAACGTATTGCATGCCCTCCCACGGAAGGGAAGCAGGACGCTACTTGATACAAGACAAGGTGAGGACCCAACATGTCAGACTGCTATCTTCCTGACAAAATGGGGAGGTGAGAGGGTTAGATATACGATGCAGGTCTGGACATATGCAAAATTCATTTCCAGGGTCTCTATTGCTGACTTGCATCTCCAAGAGGAATCCCGCCCTTCCTCTGGCCAGGCAAACCCCCACCC